AAGTTTCATTTATACATTTATTAAATAAAGCAACTTGGGTTGCTTCCAGTTTTTGGCTATTTTGAATAATGCTGATATAAACTTGGTTGTACAGATATCTCTTAAAGACTCTGCTTTCCGTTATTTTGGATATTCACCTAAATGTGGAATTGCTGGACCATATACTTCTAATTTCTTGAGGAACCACCATACTATTTTTCCATAGTGGCTGCACTATTTTATTTTACATCCCTACCAACCGTGCACAAGAGTTTCTTCAGTGTCCTTGCCAATTTTTTTGTTGTTTTTTTCCTATACTGATCATCCTAGCCTAATGTTTATTAAGTGGTATCTCATTGTGGTTTTGATTTGTATCTCCCTAAATATTAGTGATGTTAACCACATTTTCATGTGCTCATTAGCCATTTGTAAATCTTTTCTGGAGAATTGTCTATTCAAGTCCTTTACCCATGTATTAAGTGATAGTGTTTTTGTTATTTTAGAGGAGTTATTTCTGTATTTTCAATATTAATATTGAAACATACATGATACATGATCTTCAAACATTTTCTGTAGGGGTCTTTTTACTCTGTTATTGTTTCCTTTGAGGTAATCCAATTTCTTTTTTTTAACTTATATTTGCCTGTTCTTTTGGTTTCATATCCAAGAATTCACAACCAAATCCAGTGACATGAGCATTTCCCTACATTTTCTTCTAATAGTTTACAGTTTTAGGGTACACATTTAGGTCTTGACCAAATTTGAGTTAATTTTTGTATATTATATGAAATAGGGATACAGTTTCATTCTTACGCATGGATATATCTAGTTTACCAGTTCAATTTGTTGAAGAGGCCATATTTTCCTAGTGAATAGATAATGGCATCCTTGTTGAACATCACTAGACTTTATATGCAAGGGTTTATTTTGGGGCTTTCTATACATCCATATTACACTATTTTGATTACCATAGATTTGTAATAAAATTTGAAATCTGGAAGTATGAGACTTTAAACTGTTGTTATTCACTGATTGTCTATTTGTGTTCCCTTGAGATTCCATATAAATATTAGCATGACCTGTCTCTGTAAAAATGCCATTGGAGTTTTGATAAAGATCATACTGAATCTGTAAATCTCTTGGAGTAGTATTAATATCTTAATAATAGTAAGCCTTCCAGTCTCTGACCACAGAATATCCTTCCATTCTTTTGCCTTTAACTATTTTCATAAGTTCTTTTTTTTTTTTTTATTTAATTGGAGACTAATTACAATATTGTGGTGGTTTTTGCCATACATTCACATGAATCAGCCATGGGTATAAACGCGTTCCCCACCCTGAATCTCCCTCCCACCTCCCTCCCCATCCCATCCCTCAGGGTCCTCCCAGTTCTTTGAAGTTTTCAGTGTGAAACTGTTACACCTCCTTGGTTACTTTTATTCCTAAATTAGTTATTATTCAGTTGCTAAGTCGTGTCTGACTCTTTGCGACCCCATGATAGCACATCAGGCTCCTGTTTCCTTCACTGTCTCTCGGAGTTTGCTCAGATTCATGTCCGTTGAGTTGCTTGATGCCATCCAACCATCTCATCCTCCGCTGCCCTGTTTTCTCTCTTCTGTCTTTTCCAGCATTGAGGTTTTTTCCAATAAGTTGGCTCTTCACATTAGGTGGCCAAAGTGTTAGGGCTTTAGCAACTGTCATTCCAATGAACATTCAGGGTTGATTTCCTTTAGAATTGACTGGTTTGATCTCCCTGAAGTTCAGGGGACTCTCAATTCTTCTCCAGCACCACAATTCAAAACCATCAATTCTTCATTGTTCAGCCTACTTTATGGTTCAGCTCTCACATCTGTACATCATTACAGGAAAAAGCATAGTTTTGACTATATGGACCTTTGTCAAGAAAGTGATGGCTCTGCTTTTTAATGCCTCTGTCTAGATTTGTCATAGCTTTCCTTCCAAGGAGCATCTTTTAATTTCATGGCTGCAGTCACTATCCATGAAGAACGCTGAGTGCCAAAGAATTGATGCTTTTGAACTGTGGTGCTGGAGAAGACTCCTGAGAGTCCCTTGGACTGCAGGGAGATCAAACCAGTCAATCCTAAAGGAGATCAGTCCTGAATGTTCACTGAAAGGACTGATGCTGAAGCTCCAATACTTTGGCCACCTGATGCGAAAAGCCGAAAAGACTAGAAAAGACCCTGATGCTGGGAAAGACTGAAGGCAAAAGAAGGGGACAACAGAGAATGAGATGATTAGATAGCATGACCGATTCAATAGACGTGAATCTGAGCAAATTCTAGGAGACAGTGCAAGACAGAGGAGCCTGGCATGCTGCAGTTGGACATGACTTGGCCACTGAACAACAAAAGTAACTGTCCGCAGTGATTTTGGAGCCCAAGACAATAAAATCTATCACTGCTTCTACTTTCTCCCCTTCTATTTGCCATGAAGTGATGGAACCAGATGCTATGATCTTGGTTTTTTGAATGTTGAGTTTCAAACCAGCTTTTTAATTCTCCTCTTTCCCCCTCATCAAGAGGCTTTTTAAGTTCCTCTTCACTTTCTGCCATTTGAGTAGTATCATCTCCATATCTGAGGTTGTTGATATTTCTCCCAGCAGTCTTGATTCCGGCTTGTGATTCATCCAGCCTGGCATTTTGTATGATGTACTCTGTGTAGAAGTTAAATAAGTAGGGTGACAATATACAGCCTTGATGTACTCCCTTCCTAACTTGGAACCAGTCAGTTGTTCCAAGTCCAGTTCTGACTGTTGCTTCTTGACACACACACAGGTTTCTCAGGAGACAGGTAAAGTCTCTTGAATTTTCCAGTGCATTGTGATCCACAGTCAAAGGCTTTTAGCATAGTCAATGAAGCAGTAGATGTTTTTCAGTTCTTCACTCTTTTTGATATTTGTAATTTTTAAAATTTAAGAATGTTCATTAGTAGTATATGGAAACACAACTGATTTTTTTTATGTGTGTGGATTCTGTATTCTGCAACTTTGCCAAATTGATTTATCCTGACAGTTTCCTTGTGGAATTTGTAGGGTTTTCCAATATATACAAGATAATGTCATCTGTGAGGAGAGAGAATCTTCCTTCTACTTTTTTATTTGGATGCCTTTTTTTTTTATTCCCTAGCTGCTCTGACTGGAAACTGCAGAGTAGGTAAAAGTGAACATCTTTGTCCTGTCTGATCCTGAAGGGAAAGCTTTCAATTTTTTACCATTGAGTCTGTTGTTAGCTGTGGGCTTGTCATATATTGCTTTTATCATGTTGAAGTAGAATCCTTCTCTTCCTTGTTTAATTGTTTTTAATCATGGAAGTGTGTTGAATCTTGCCACGGATCCCAAGGTGTCTCAGAGGTGGTGGTAGCCTGCTGGTGGGCAGGGCCAGGGTCTGACGGTGAGGGGTGAGGGGGCAGGGGTCACAGGAGGGGAATACTGGTGGCTGGGCTAGATCCTGCCATAGCAGGCTGCAGGGGTCCTGGGCTGGTGTCAGCCTGCTGGTGGGTAGAGCTGGGTCCCAGAGTCTCTGTCTGCAAGGCCCTGGGGATCCCAGAGCTAGTGCCTGTGCACTCCTATGGGGCAGGGCTGTGTTCCAGGGTGGCTGAAGGCTCGGGGTCTTAAGGTAGCCTGCCTGCTAGTGATGCGTGGGGCTGTGTTCCAGTGCTAATAAACTAGAGGATGATTCTGAAGTGATGCTTCCCAGCATGGGTGTCCATATGATAGAGCAGGCTCCACAGATGGCGTCTGCCAATGCCTGTGTCCCAAGGATGAACTTCAGTTGCCTCCTGGGTGATCTGCAGGTAGGTCTGACCCAGCTCCTTTAAAAAATTACTGTCTCTTCCCTGGGTCCTGCAGCACATGAGGTTTTATATGTACCCTTTAGGAGTTAAATCGGTTTGCCACACCTGTGTCCCCTGAAAGTAAGCCCCACTGGTCTTCCCAGTTCAGGACTCCCCAGGCCAGGGAGCCCAATGTGGGGCTTAGACCCACTGCTCAGAGAACCTGTGTAACTGTAACTACCCTCCCATTTGTGGGTTTCTCTCTGGGGCTATGGGTCTTGACAATACTGTACCTATGCTCCTTCTACATCTTGCTATGGTTCCTTTTTTATACCCTTAGTTGGAAAAGATCTTTTCTGTTAGATTCTGGTCTTTCTCATTAATAGTTGTAATTTTGGTGTGCCTGTGGAAGGAGGTGAGCCCAGGATCTTTCTACTCTGCCATCTTGGCAGCAAAATCTTAGCTACTCTCAAGTTTTAAAATAAAAACTCTACTAATATTTACCACATGTTACTATTTCTGATACTTAGTGTGTATGTAGGTTCAGATTTCCTTCTGGTATCATTTCCCTTTTGCATGAAAGATGTCCTTTAACATTTTTTCCAAGTACAAGACCTTCGTATGCTTAATGATTTCTACTAACTTGTCTTTAAAGTTCACTGGTCCTTTTTCTCCATTATCCCAAGTTACTACTCTACCACAATTATAAACTTGGTCCTCCTTGTCATAGGCAGTGCTGAATTCTTTGCTCAGCTCTTTAAATCTCAGCTGTCTCTCAAAGGTTCCTAGGAGTCTCACCATACACATGTTATTTAGGTGTCTGCAAAGGATTTGAGGGATTTCCTACCTGGAAATTTCTACCATCGTGGCAGCACTGCTGTCCGCTTCCTCAGCCTAGTATGACTATTACTTTTTGCTTTGGGTTTATCCCTTGTGAACCATGAAATAAAAAGTGCTTTCAGAAGCCAGTTAAATGTGGATCTCAACCAGTATGCTTTCAAGGATCATAACCACCTCCAGTTTCTGCTTACTACTGATGACATCTCTGCTTTCAAATCTAAGCTACTTTGGCATTGTTGGAATTAGAACCAAGTTGTTATTTTTAAAATGTTTTTTAAACTTAAGTTTTAACAACGCTAATGCCTCTACCATTTTAAGTTTTTATTGTTGATTTAATTTTTCCATTAAAATACTGTAAAGAATACATGGGATTTTTTTTCATTTTGCAGGATATAGCAAATGAAGAACACAGAAAAATCGAAGCATTAAAATCAGAAAACAAGAAGCTAGAAAAACAAAAAGGAGAATTAATGATAGGATTTAAGAAACAGTTAAAATTAATTGATGTTTTAAAAAGGCAGAAGGTGAGTCTATCCTAAACAAAGTTAAATTGTGGATATTATTTGGCTCTTTCTAATAAGACATTTAGTATTTCTCCTTCAGGTATATTTTTTATTGCCATGCTTAGTCACAAAATGTTATCTACATATTGATGCAAGTAAATTAGAAATGTTTACCAGTTCTGTTTCCATACAGTATGGATACTCCCTAACTAAAGAAAATACCAAATATAAAAAATAACTATTATCTTAAAAAGGGATCAGTTTGCCTCTTGAAATCTTGAGAGTGAAACTGATTCCAAACCAGTTTTATTCTGTTCACCACACAAGTTTACCTAGTGGTTAAGAGGATGTGAATTCATGTTTTTGCTACTGTCACCTTTTGCAAAGATTAGGTATTACAATATTGAATTGTTCTCTAAACAGGTTGGTGCAATACCACCAGTGGACAAGGTTTTTAGCGGCTAATCACTGAATGTAATTATTATTTAAACCTGTTTATTATAATTAGCTTTATACACACTTTCACAAATTTCCTATTGTTCTGTGGTCTACTCTTAATACTAAATTAGACAATATTGATTTCTTTAAACACAGATGCATATTGAAGCTGCGAAGATGCTGTCTTTCACTGAAGAGGAATTTATGAAGGCACTTGAATGGGGAAATTAATAAGTGATCTACTTTTAAACCTCTAATGTGTGGTGGATATACTCTTAAAGTAAAAATAGTTCACACTGTTACAACTTACATTAAATAATGAAGACATTTGATAAGTCAAAATAATTCCCTGTTTAGATTTGGGGATATAAAATTGATACCTATTAGAAATGTTTTATAAAATAAAGCAATAGAAATTTAACTTTCGATTCTGTTATCTTTCTTATGACCTTCTAGCCCCTTTCAGCTGCATATCAATAGAAAATATTTTATATTCTAGAGACTTAGCTTTAGCTTTACCTGAGAGAAACTGTTTCTATGTACTTATTGATAGCCACATTAGGTAATAAAGCATTCTGAAATTCCTCACGCTATACTTTTCTCCTCTCATAATAGGAAAAGTCTTCCCCGGCCAAATCAAGGAAGTAAAGTTCCTAGACACGAACACAGAAGTGGTATGAAGAGTTTAGTCTCCTGGGTTGTTTCAATAGATATAGATATCTATATATAACAGAAAAATCCAAACTTTTTGGCCAACTCAATATATGGAATGTGGTATAGAATTCAGATCTTCAATTTTATCAGTACAAAAACAATAGTGATTGGAAGCAAACTTGCATATAATACTCTTTATCAGAAAACAAATGTTTTCTTACAACTGATTCTTTATAAATGATAACTTACAGAAATGTTTTAGAAAATCCAGAGACAATGGGAGTCCTACTCACTGAACTCTAAAACAAAAGTTACACTGACACCTAGTGGTAACATACAAAAGAACCCAGGTTTTACCAAATCTTGATGGTATCACTTCTCACAAATTTCACTCCTTTTCTGATATGCTTTTCTAAACTCTTCACCAAGCATATCAATATCATCCTCATTTTTGAATACTCCCTACAAGAAAAATATTTTGTGGGTTACTCTGAATGCCAGACTATTTCAATAAATGTTCATAAGACTAAGAGATACAGACATGAAGTTTATAAAGTTATTTCTAATATAATGAAATTAATTAGCAAAATATTTTTTCTGTAATTGTGACTTAATATACATATATACTCAATATTCTCAGACTGACCTGATGTCCTGTTGGAACGTGTCGTGGGAATCTGGACTCTTCTGCTTTACTACTACAAGTACTACTGCTCTGACGGACTGAACGCAAATCAATTTAATCCACGCTGTACCCTCCTACCCTTATTTTGAAACAGCCCTGCAGTATATGAGGGAGGAAGTGAGCTTCACCAGATTTATGCATGGGACTGGCTCTTGCATCAGTTCTGTCTCTAGTCAGCTAACTTCAGTCTTTCAGGAAAGAATCCAGGTGTGGAGTTAAGTCAACTAATCTTAATCCCTTTAAAACAAAATTAAACTTAAATATTTACTTATCTAAAGAATGCTCTCCCAGCAAAGAATAATTTAGGTCATTTGGAGCCACTAGGATCTAAAGGATCAAATTTTAGGTTATCAGTTTCTCCCATTTCCACAGTTATTTTGCTACACAAATATCTAAACCCAAAGACTTGCTCAGAATTTATAGTCTAGTTTAAATAATTCCATATGGCTTTTGTTATTAATATATAAGTCTGTATACATTCTAACAAGACTATAAGGTCCTATAGACAGGTAATAATTACTCATTTCTTTCTCCTTCCTTTTGCACTAGACTGAACAAAATATACAGTTGATTCTTTTGATTGAGTAAAGTATCAAATGGCATAATTTCCATATCTGAAAGGTAGAAATGTTATTTACTTTATTTCATATGTTTATGTGGCCTCTGAAACTCAAGTTGTTATTTTTATAGTCATAAGGTATTTCATATAGCAAATTTTCATGTATATTCTCTGGAAGTAATATGCTTTTTAAAATAAGGGTTACCTAGCTATAATGTAACCTCCTGTTACACAGCAGATCTCAGACTGAGTTCAAGCTTGTAATCTATTACTACTGTTACAGATTACAAGGCTATCCTATATATCACCTGCTTTGGTGTCCAGCGTATCACATTTGCTTTAGTTTTAAACGTCTTACACTGGAGATCAGAACCTCCAAAGTTTAAATACAGAAATTCCAGCTCAAATTTAATAGAAAGTGCCAAGACCAACCATCTCATTTTGGAGATGTTCAGTTACTAACTCACGTAACATTGCTGCTTTGTAACAGCAAGAAGTGAGTGAAACCCAGGCCCTCTGAAATCCTAACACCATGTCTTCCCCCAACTCTTAGAGGCTATGAGTTAAATCTCACTTACTTTAGGGAGATACCCTAGTAGTTTTGTAGCATGTTCTTTGAGAAGTTTTAGTCTTTCTTCTTCGACAATTGCATTTATACATCCTTGTCTTTTTTGCTGCCACTGCCATTCCTGCAGTTCACGTTGCTAGAAATGTAAACAGAACTTACTGTCATAAAACACATTAATCTTTGAAGAATGTGGCAAACAAAACTATTCTTGCAGTAAATTAAGATAAAACTGATAATATATCTTTTATATTATATTATATATATAATATATATATTACTGTCATTCTTCCTTTAAAGTGACAAGGAAAATAGTTATGACTGATGTTAGGGAGGCAAGTACATATTTTCAGGATAAGCCATCTTCATTACCAAGGAAAAAAGGTTCAAAGAAGTGATTTCCCAATTAATTCAACGAATATTTGTTGAGTGCTTACTATACCCCAGGTGTTGAAGGCAGCTTACAATGTAAGACAAAAAAAAAAAAAAAAAAGGTAGATAAAACACAATAGGGATAGCTAAAAGATAAGTACTGCCATATATATTAAGTTTCTTAAAGCCTGTGTGAGGTACAAGAGCATCAGCAAGTATTCCAGCAAAAGAACAGTATTTCTCAGGGAAATGTTCTGATTGATAACCACACCAAATTTCTGAGCTGTGAAAATATGGAAGAGATGACTAGCTTTAACTCATTTTAGGGCTTAAAAGAACTCATAGAAATATATCCAAATAAGACTTTTAAATGGGAAAGGATGCTAAAGGCAGGCCACTGAAATAATGATGAATTTCTGCCAAGAATTATTTTAGTTAAAATAGTATTAATGCTTCAACTTTTCTTTGAAATAATCAGTTTAAGTCATATAAACCAGAAAGCAGGATGTCTGTCTCTTCTGTTAAAATGAGAGGTAAGCTGCTTCTATATCACCTAATACTTCATTATTGGATGAAAATAAAGAAGAATGCTAGGACACTATCACCTAATACTTCATTATTGGATGAAAATAAAGAAGAATGCTAGGACACAACCATATCCAATGCCAGTTAAACTTGGAATTGCTTCTCTGTCTACTGTCATGTCAGATGTATTACAAACTTAGAAGTATCACTGACAGCTAATTGAGAAGATACTTTCATCTATGTTGCTACTGAATCAAAGGGTAGAATTGCTCTTAAATATTTTATCTCTAAGACGAAACAGGGTAACAGAATCTGCTATAGAATCACTATATCTGAATTTTTTTTAGACTGCATTTCTAAGGCTAAAGGGTCAGATGTGGTCACAACAGGACTAGGTTTTTGCCAAGGGAATAAGCAAAAGTGTTGTATGGCAGTTTCCAGGAATCAGTCTTACATCTTTTGTCCCTTCTGCACTTCTTCCATCTGCTGCTTGAAACATGGCTATGAAGGTTGAAGAGACAAATTAAACCATGAAGACGAGGGCTGTACCCTACAGGGGCCATAACAAAACCCAGAAGGAGCCCGGGTTCCTGAAGACTGTGAATAAAGCTTCAGTTTCTAGACTTCCATGCGAGGGAATAGTAAACTAGACTTCCATGCAAGGGAATAGTAAACTATCTCTTAAGCCACTGTTAGCTTGAGACTCTACTTGTAGACAAACATCCTAACTGATCTATTCCTTCTAACGGGGGGATGTAAAAAAGTTATCTAATGTTGTGAGGAAAGCTCATTTGTTAAATTTGTTCAGTTGCGTGCACGGTCTCACATTTGGGTTTTCCTTCTTAGGAAGACCACATTAACTATTTACCATAAAAAAAATTTTTTATAGTAAATTAGGGTAAATATTTTAGAAAGATATGAAACCAATTTGTCTATGAGGGCAAGTTCTGAATAGCTCTAGTGGTACAAAGTATCTCCTGGGGAGTTTCAGATTTTGTCTGACTGTGGATTTGTTTTAGAGGTAGACAGCTATTTAGGAATATTTATGAAATCTTAAAAAAAAGAGCATGCCTTACAGGATTGTATAATGAAATGGATTCATGATTCTATGAACATGAAACTCCATCCTTTCTCTTAGGCCAAGACCCAGTCTCACTGATAATCAATATTTAAAACTAACCCCACAGCTTCATTTTGGGAACATGCACAATTTTTTCAAAATTAAGATATAAATTTCTTAGAAAAGTATCTGTGGCTTAGGTAATATTTTAATATTTCTTCCCTTTATAGCTGCCCTGATAACTTTCCAAGGAGTTTTCTGATTAACTCTGTAAGCCATGAGATAGGACAGTCACTGGTTCTGCCTCTTTCTAGGCAAGGAGTATTCAAAGCTTTCTGGTCAATTTCAGACGCTTTTAAATTTTCTGTCTCCTTGATCACTTTGCTCTGACAATCACCCTTATTGATTCAACAAACATTTACTAAGTATTTACTGCTTGCCAAGAAAAATGCTAGGTGCTTTTTTAATCTCCCTTTGGTTACAGCAAATCATGACTGGTTTCTATCAAAGATATAGAATTGAGATTTGTATTCATTAGGAATCCACTTAGTTAAGCAGGAGGAGGACATAATGAGATTTTTTTTTTTACTTTATGCTAACTGGTAGCAGATGGACTAGAATCACAAGGAGACTGGTTAGAAGACAATTTCAGTAGTCCACAGAATGATAATAAATGTCTAAATTATGAAGAGAAATGGATTTAGTAAGAGTTATGGTAGAACTGGAATCAACTGGATTTGATGGCTGAAAATTATTAGGTAAGAAATGGGAAGAATCCAGAATGATTCCAAGGTGACAGCATATTCACTCAGTCACCCACCCGCCTGTCTTTAACCAAGATTCAGGCTACAGAAATTGGAAAAGGTTTATCTGTCTGCTACTTTCTTTTGGAAACCTTAATTCTAAGGCACCACAAGATTTCCAACTATGTCCTTTTAAGCATCTGGAAATATAACAACAGAAATAAGACATTAGTTAATCAAGCATACAGGAGAGCCAAAAATTGCACCTCAAGTCTCCCAACACTTCATGCAGCAGGCAAAAAAGATAGGGCTGATCTCTGTTTTCTGTGACATCCAGATGTTATCTTTCTGACCATTTCTTGGTCTTGTCAATTTTTTTCTACCACTTCTACCTCCTGTGTTCTCCAAGTCTCAGTCACTGGCTCTCTCTGATTCCTTCTCATAATATATTATTTGGAAGAATAATCTTAGTTTCAAACTGTGGGTTACTTAATGCCAGAAATGCTTTTCTAAGAAAAGTTGACCTTTCTTCTTCTGTTCTTCTTCCTGCCTTCAGGAATTTCAACTTGCATTTCTAACTAAATATGACTAAATCTGAAGTCGTTCCATCTTTTTGCTCCAATTCAAAACATAACAGCACTTGTATTCCTTGAGTTTCTCATATTTGAAACCTTGAGAGTTATTTTGATACCTTCCTCCACTCTACCCTATATGGTCCAAGGAAAAAAATCATACAAGTCTCATCTATTCTTCCTTTAAAAATATTTAAATTCTTCCCTTTCTCCTTCCACTGCTCTGTCAACCTACTCCAGGCCATCATCACTTCAACTCTTAAATTACTACTCTGACCTATTTTTTAAATTAATTATTTTAATTGGAGGCTAATTACAATTCTGTGGTGGTTTTTGCCATATGTTGACATGAATCAGCCACGGGTTTTCATGTGTCCCCCATCCTGAACCCGCCTCCCACCCTCCCTCCCTATTCCATTCCTTTGGGTTGTCCCAGTGCATCAGTTTTGAATGCCCTGTTTCATGCATTGAACTTGCACTGGTCATCTATTTCACATATGGCAATATACATATTTCAATGCTAGTCTTTCAAATCATCCCACTCTCGCCTTCTCCCACAGTCCAAAAATCTGTTCTTTATATCTGTGTCTCTTTTGCTGTCTTGAATATGGGGTCATCGTTACCATCTTTCTAAATTCCATATATATATATGTTAATATACTATATTGGTGTTTTTCTTTCTGACTTACCTCACTCTGTATAATAGGCTCCAGTTTCATCCACCTCATTAGAACTGATTCAAATGCATTAGTTTTAATAGCTGAGTAATATTCCATTATGTATATGTACCCTTTCTCTTCTTGTTAAAGAGCACATTACAATAACCAGTTTCTACTGTATCATGCCCAAACTCAGCCTATCATTCAGGTTCCTCCATGTGGTAATTCCATAAGCTGCCAACTAAGAATAGCCTTCCTGTCTTCTTTTATTCATTTTTTATGTATTTCTAGATAAATCCACATAGTTCTGCCATAAATGTATTGCATTATTAGTATATCACACTATTGCATTCTACAAATGTTTACATTTAAGAAACATATTCTTAGTACAGTAGTATATATAATCAAGTCTTTGGGGTATTTAGACCTTATTTTCTTCTGCTAGATTAAAAGCTACCAGAATGAGCTTTATTTAGTTTGGTTCCCTCAGCAGAATGCCTAGCAAATGAGTATCTGCTGATTATAAGAGTATTCTGGGATTTCTTTTTGTCCACCATTCAGGAAAATCATTATGATATTAATATATTAATCCCAGATCTGCCACTTAACTTGCTATGACACCTTGGGCAATATATATAATCTCTCAAGATTCAGTTCCACATCTTTAAAATGGGGGTAGTAACAGTACCTAACTCACAGGGTTGAAAGTTAAAAGTTATTAATTTGCTTGTAATGAATATAGAATAGTGAATGGCATAAGAAAACAATAAATGTTAGTTATTGTTACTCCACTTCTATTACTACTTAAAAATATTTGCCACATGCTTTATCAGTACTTTTCATATTTAGAGCTCTTTATCTTTCCAAAGCACTTACATACTATCTTATTTGCTTCTTAAAGTAGTATTTCAGTTTTATGGATGAAACATTTCAATGTGTCCAAGTCACAAACCTAGTTTCCTCACCAACTCTTAAATACACATTTCCAAATAAGAAATTTCCCCCTGGGCCTCAAAATCTATATGGACAAAATGGAATTATATATCTACTCCCTCAAAATCTGTTTATCTTCCTACATCTTTGTACATACATCATCACTCACTCACTGAATATGGAAGTGTGTAACAGCATTACTTAGTAGTAGTAGTCTGTCTCTCAACTCTCCAGATCTAATTGGTCACCGTGACCCATCAATTCTAATTTCCTACCACTTCACAGATGGATTCCTTCTCTATTCACAAGGGTTTTCATCACCTCTCTGGGATAACTGTAGTAACTTCCTGAAGAACTGTGGATGGAGGTTTGTAACAGTGTACAGGAGGCAGGGGACCAAAACCATCCACAAGAAAAGGAAATGCAACAAGGCAAAATGGTCATCTGAGGAAGCCTTACAATAGCTGAGAAAAGAAGTGAAAGGCAAAGGAGAAAAGGAAAGATATACCCATCTGAAGGCAGAGTTCCAAAGACTAGCAAGGAGAGATCAGAAAGGCTTCTTAAGTGAACAATGCAAAGAAATAGAGGAAAACAACAGAATGGGAAAGAGTAGAGATCTCTTCAAGAAAATCAGAGATACCAAGGGAACTTTTCATGCAAAGATGGGCTCAATAAAGGACAGAAATGGTATGGACCTAACAAGCAGACAATATTAAGAAGAGGTGGCAAGAATACACAGAAGAAGTATACAGAAAAGATCTTCATGACCCAGATAAAACCATGATGGTGTGATCACTGACCTAGAGCCAGACATCCTGGAATTCGAAGTCAAGAGGGCCTTAAGAAGCATCACTACAAACAAAGCTAGTGGAGGCAATGGAATTCCAGTTGAGCTATTTCAAATCCTAAAAGATGATGCTGTGAAAGTGCTGCAGTCAATAGGCCAGCAAATTTGGAAAACTCAGCAGTGGCCACAGGACTGGAAAAGATCAGTTTTCATTCCAATCCTGATGTTCAAAGAATGTTCAAACTACTGCACAACTGCACTCATTTCATATGCTAGCAAGGTAATGCTCAAAATCCTTCAAGCCAGGCTTCAACAGTATGTGAGCCGAGAACTTCCATACGTACAAGCTGGATTTAGAAAAGGCAGAGGAACCAGAAATTAAATTGCCAAAATCCATTGGATCATAGAAAAGCAAAAGCATTCTAGAAAGAATTTACTTCTGCTTCATTGACTATGCTAAAGCCTTTGACTGTGTGCATCATTACAAACTGTGGAAAATTCTTCAAGAGATGGGAATACCAGACCACCTGACCTGCCTCCTGAGAAATCTGTATGCAGATCAAGAAGCAACAGTTAGAACTGGATATGGGACAATGAACTGATTCAACATTGGGAAAGGAGTACATCAGGCTGTATATTGTCACCGTGCCTATTTAACTTCTATGCAGAGTACATCATGCTGAATGCTGGACTGGATGAAGCACAAGCTGGAATGAAGATATCCAGGAGAAATATCAATAACCTCAGATATGCAGGTGACACCACTCTAATGGCAGAAAGTGAAGAGAAACTAAAGAGCCTCTTGATGAAAGTGAAAGAGGAGAGTGAAAAGCTGGCTTAACACGCAACATTCAAATAACAAAAGATCACAGTATCTGGTCCCATCATTTCATGGCAATTAGATGGGAAAACAGTGGAAACAGTGACAGACTATTTTGGGGGGCTCCAAAATCACTATAGTGACTGCAGCCATAAAATTTAAAGATGCTCCTTGGAAGAAAAGCTATGACAAACCTAGACAGCATATTAAAAAGCAGAGACATCGCTTTGCTGATAAAGATTTGTATATTCAAAGTATGGATTTTTCCAGTAATCATGTACAGATATGAGAGTTGGATTATAAAGAAGGCTGAGCACCAAAGAACTAATGCTTTCGAACTGTGTTGCTGGAGAAGAACTCTTGAGAGTCCCTAGGACAGCAAGCAGATCAAACCAGTCAATCCTAAAGGAAAATCAACCCTGAATATTCACTGGAAGGACTGGTGCTAAAGCTGAAGTTCCAAACTTTGGCTACCTGATGTGAAGAATCAACTCACTGGAAAAGACCCTGATGCTGGGAAAGGCTGACGGCAAGAGAAGATGGCGACAGAGGATGAGATGTCGGATGGCATCATCGACTCAGTGGACGTAAGTCTGAGCCAACTCCAGGAGACAGTGAAAGACAGGGTAGCCTGGGGTGCTACAGTCTCGGGTGTTGCAGAGAGTCAGATATGACTGAACAACTAAACAAAAACTAAACTGATCTTCCTGTCTCCAGTCTTACTCCCGTCATGTCTGTCCTCAACACTGTTACCTGAATCATCTTTCCAAGTGCAGATCTTATCATGCAGTTCAATTCTTCAGTGGAACCCCCCCCCGAATAAAATCCACCATTAAAACAGCAGCCAAGACATTCATGATCAGTCTCCTCTCTGCCATACAACACGTCTATTCTGTATAATTATCATCAATGCATTTGACATATCTTCATAATCATTGTTTTTATGTATTTTTCTTAACCAACACCAAAAGCTTATAGATTACATGGAGTTCGTCATATTTATGTTCTCAACACCAACCAATGTCTAACACATAGAAAGCATCAATAAATATGTTCTAGATTCATTAATTAATTAGTCAGAAAACATATATATCATATGATTAGTGAATGGATATCCAACATCTGACGCATAAACAGTTTTCAGTTATTCAGTGGATAAATAAATTAGCCAGCTACTATTCAATGAAAAATTTTTAAAAAGTTTTCCTTACTTTGTCTGCAAGGAACTGGTTGCGGCGCTCTTCTATAAGTTTTTCCACAGCCCTCTTGTGTTCTAGCTGCTTCATTCTTTGCTTCTGAGCATTCATTAATTCTATTCGATCATCCTCAGCAAATTTCGCCAGCATAGCTTTCCTAAAAGTCTCCTCTTCTTCTTTTGCAGCCTGAAGTACTAATTCCTTCAAGGCCATTTGGTCCATAAAATCTTGCTTCAACTCCTTTTGCTTTCTCAATTTCTCTTCTGCTTCTTCCTAAATAACAATACATCTAAAAGTTAATTTAATAATTAACCTGTAAAAGTTAATTCAGTAATTGTTTCTTTACAGTAAATTTATAAAGATAGGGTCAGATAGAGTTTGTTTAAGCTTAATGTTACAATAAGAAATAAAACTGAAAACTTAAAAGCCTTTTCAAGGTAACACTTTGCCCCATTCTTTAAAAACTAATAAAGTAGATATTACCTTTGGATTGCTCATTATTTAAAATTTAACTAATATATATTTATCATCTTGTTTCTGTATTCAGAATTAACATATTAACTTTGAAAAGAGCTGTATAAAAATTTGTATATGTGAGTTTATTAAATCAGTCAACTATAAAATCTGTACCAACTATGAATCATTCTAGAACCTTGTGTTCAAATCATTGATAAATATTTTTCAGAACAATAATCTAGCAATGAGAATCAGAAGTATTTCAGAGAAATTCAAACTTACTTGAAGCAGTTAAAAGTCCTTTCCTACAAGGTTTAATTTCCTCAACATTACTATGAAAGATTTCAAAACCAAGAATTTTACAGGGATCACCCATATTTGCTTTATCATTGATCTACTGAATTAGGACTGCTGTAAATTTTAAATCATTAGCTAATCTAACCAACTTTGCTCAATTCTAATACAAGTTCCAGGTAGGCCAGTATCTTCAAAATATTGCCTTAACGCCCATAGGGCCAAGGTTCCTACTTACAGATTACAACAAAATGTAAGGATTTACTACAGGCCATCAGCTACATACAGAACTTCCACGGAGGCCAGGGAACCAAGCTGCCATCCTACCGCTCAAAACTCATTACGGTAACTCTGTCTATGGTGACCGACTACTATCTCATGTGCTTTCTTCCACCTTCACACCTTGAAGTGGGGGTGATGGCTATTGGAGACAACCGAGTTCATGTGAAGAGTTCTAGGTAAAAGATAAATGTAGTTTTAACTACATTTCTCTTTGCAATAAAGACAAATGAATTTACAACAGGGTAGGATGTGGTCAGGGTAGGATGTGGTAAGGGTAGGAATGGGTTTCTTTTGAAACAGAAAATGTATTTATTATTTTGCAAGTAGCTATGCAAAATAGCTAGGGACCTGACAAGCTGCTGAAAGATTTTCCCAAATAACTTGTGCATCCCTGTATTATAGGTATCACATCAATAACACATCCAGGAGAACAAAAATAGAATTCAGAAAACAATATCTCAGAGGCCCACCAGAACCTGATTCCTTTATGAAATACTCTATTACAGTGTTGTTGTTGGTTATGTAGTTGCTAGGTTGTGTCTGACTCTTCCAACCCCATGGACTTTATGTAGCCTGCCAAGCTCCTCTGTCCATGGGATTAATACTGGAGTGGGTTGCCATGTCCTTCTCCAAAGAATGGGTTTTAAAGTGAGCCAATCTGCAAGTATCAGTTACAGCAACTTTGTTAATTATATTGATCATTCATCCTCTTTTTCTTCATTTATCCCTATCTAATCCTCTTTCCAAATTCCATCTTTTTCATAGTCTTCTCTGTTCCCTGGTGGCTTAGATGGTAAAGAATCTGCCTGCAATGCAGGAGACCCAGGTTCAATCCCTGGGTCAGAAAGATCCCCTGGAGAAGGGATTGACAACCCACTCCAGTCTTCTTGCCTGGAGAATTCCAAGGACAGAGGAGCCTGGCGGGCTACAGTCCATGGGGTTGCAGAGTCAGACACAACTGAGTGTCTAACATACAGACACACAATCCTCTTTTCAGATCCTATCTTTTTCTTAGTTCTCTCTAATCACTCTTACCTCTTTTGGGGGTCTTATACCATTTAATTTTTCATCATTTAATTTTATTCCATAAATATACACCTCATCTCACGAAAATCCATAGAAGGCATATCTTATTTTTCTTTGGGATGCTGGACACATAGTGTTTTTTATAATAAAAAGTTTGTGTTTATTTGCCATCTATTGCATAGAAGTCAGAGGCTCATTAAAGGCAGACATGCTGTGTCAGTTAGCTCTGAATTCCTCCAGAGCTTATAATAATACTTTGCACACAGAAATTCAGTACATACTGGACCAAATGAATTCTTGACATTTCCTGGCATCCATCTCCCATACCAATTTTAGTTTAATCCAATGGTGAAGACATCTGGCTAAAATACAGGAAAGATTCTGGCAAAACAAAACACCATTCATTATATGTTTTGAACTAGGAAAGTGTTCATATAGACTTTGATGTGTCTGGATATGGATTATGTAGTTATATAATATGAACTGAATACTCTTCCATGTTCTAAAACCCAATATGTGGTTTGAGGAATAGCTGTTCACTGAAAGTTTGGATTAATTTGCTATACAACTACTCTGAGTCTAGAAACTCTTTACAGATATCTTGGTCTGGGTTCTCCACTGAAAAACAGCCTTAAACAAGGAGTTGTATACAGATATTTTACCACGGAGGTAATCTCAGGAAGCAGAGGTGAGGGACAAGCAGAAGTGAAGGAAGAGAAGCCAACACAAGGATGCATCATTGAACTGGTCACTGGACGACCAAGGCTTCACTCTGCCAGGACCTTGTGAGCAAGGCATGGGGTACCTTTCAGGACCTTCCCAAAAACCTGCTACAGGTAGAGAAGCATTATTTCTCGATTCCTCTCCACTGCTGGCTGAGGGATGCCCCAAAGGGTGTTACCTCCCTGTCCCCACCCTGACATGTTAGGAAGCACTCAGCAAAGGGTCAGTCTAAGCCCTCACAAATATTCCCCACAGCAGTCACAAATCAGAGGTGATGTTGACAGGATGTGACACAGGGCACACAAATCTGATACAGGAAAATGGTTTTAATAACCTTATTTTGTCTTTTTTCCCCTATGTTTTCTGAAATCACTGCATTTTTAACTCAGAAAATTGCACCATTGAAAATTTTGTTTTATTAGGACACAATTGAGTAATCTTTCACTGTTTTTCTAATCTTTTCCCTTTACAAACCCTTTATCCCTTCAAATATTAAGCAACTAGATTTAAAAATGCTAATGTATTCTGATTTTCAGTTTACTTCTACTTGTATCTTTATTATTTCCCTCCATATTCTTCCCTCATACTTGATTTATATGGTTTTTCTCAGTTATTGAGTTGGCTGCCTACACAATTTTCCCAGTATTTCTCATTTAATAATTGCCTGTGGATTTCTCTGGTGCTCCAGTGGTTAAGAATCCACCTGCTGGCTTCCAGTTCAAGATGGTGGAGTAGACATGTGTTTGTTTCCTTCTGCAAGAGCACCAAAATCACAACTAGCTGTTGAATAGCCATCAACAGGAGGATACTGGGACCCATCAAAATAAGATACTCCATGTTCAAAGACAAAGAAGCTGCAGCGAGATGGCAGGAGGGATGCATTCATGATAAAATCAAACCCCATACTTGCAGGGTAGGAAACCCACAAACTGAAGAACAATAATACCAAAGAAGTTTCTCACTCTGTTATGAAGGTTTGGACCCCACGTCAGGCTTCCCAGCCTGGGGATCCGACAAAGGGACTGGGAATCCACAGGGAATGTGACCTTGAAAGCCAGTGGGATTTGACTGTAAGAGTTCCACGGGACTGTAGGAAACAGATTCCAGTCTTGGAGAGCACAAACAAAATTTTGTGTGCACCAGGACCCAGAGGAAAGGAGCAGTGACCCCACAGAAGACTGAAACAAAACTGCCTGCTAGTACTGGAGGGTCTCCTGCAGAGGCGTGGGTCATCAGGGGCTCACCAGACGGGGCTACTGGCAGCAGCAGTCCAGGAAGGTCCTTGGTGTAAGCCCTCTTGGAGGTCACCATTAACCCAGGGCTGGGTCAGGCCAAACAACTACCAGGGAGGGAGTGCAACCCCACCTATCAGCAGATAATTGCATTAAAGCTTTACTGAGCAAGGCCCTGCCCACCAGAGTAAGAGCAAGTTTCTCCCATTGCCAGTCCCTCCCATCAAGAAGCTTACACAAGCCTCTAGCTTACTCCATCAGAGGGCAGACAGAAGCAGCAGTCTCATAGATGGCTAGAACAAAAGCTACATTATAGAAAGTTAATCGTGATAAAAAAAAAAGCAGAAAGTTATGTCCTAGATGAAGGGACAAGATAAAACCTAAGAAAAACAACTAATTGAAGTGGAGATAGGCAATCTTCCAGAAAAGCAATTCAGAATAATGATACTGAAGATGATACAGGATCTCAGGAAAACAATGGAGAAGATGCAGAAATGTTTACTAAAGACCACAAGAATTAAAAAACAGAGATGAATAATACACTAGAAGGAATCAATAGAGTAACTGAGGCAGAACAGATAAATGACCTGGAGGACATAATGGTGGAAATCACTGCCACAGAACAGAATATAGAAAAAAGAATGAAAAGAAATGAAGACAGCCTAAGAGACCTCTGGGACAACATTAAATGCATCCACATTCACATTAGAGGAGTCCCAGAAGGAGAAGTGGGAGAGAGAAAGGACCTGAGAAAATATTTGAAGAGATTAAGAGCGGAAAACTTGCCTAACATGGGAAAGGAAATAGTCAAACAAGTCCAGGAAGCATAGAGAGTCCTAGGCAGGATAAACCCAAGGAGGAACACAGTAAGACACATAGTAATCAAATTGACAAAAATTAAAGACAAGGATAAAATATTAAAAGCAACAAGGGAAAAACAACAAATAACATACAAGGGAACTCCCATCAAGCGATCAGCTGATTTCTCAATAGAAACTCTACAAGCTAGAAGGGAATGGCATGACATGTATAAAGTGAGGGAAGAGGAGAACCTGCAACCAAGAATACCCAGCAAGACTCTCATTCAGATTTGAGGGAGAAATAAAAACTTTCCAGACAAGCAAAAGTGAAGAGAATTCAGCACCATCAAACCAGCTTTACAACAAATGCTAAAGGAACTTCTCTAGGCAGGAAACATAACAGAAGGAAAGACCTACAGAAAATTAACCCAAAACAGTTAAAAAAATGGTAATAGGATCA